AAAAGTATCAATAAATCATAAAAGAAAAGAAAATATTAAATTAATTTTAATTGATATAGCTGTCAACTTCATTTGCCACATAAGATGGTATAGAAATGTGATAAGAGTCGCATTATTCATTTTGAAAACTCGTAAAACCCTTTGACAATTTTTGCTAGACAAGACATATAACAAACAATATGTTGGACATAATTAATTTGATTGTATTTCTCTGGCAACATTCATAAATCAGTGATATTATTGTATACGGACGTAGAGGGCAAGAAAAACAAGTAAGTAAATGTGACTAAATATTAATATCATCTGATTTATTATGCATTGATTTTGATTTTGCAACAAATAAAGAATATCAATCAAAATAATTATCTCTAGAAAGATCCAGCTCCCCAAGAAGCTATATATATGTGGATAGGAACTTTGAAGATTTTCATATCCTTTTGGCAAAATGGATAGGGATGCATTTATTTCTCACTTCCGTCCTCAGTTGCTCGCTGATGTATTCACAATATCGGATAGGATTTTCAGTTTGTTTTAAATTTTCAAATATTTTTGGTATATTCTTACGATCATAAATTTAATAGATCATTTGTTAATATTGTGAAGAAAAAATATGTCAAGCTCTTGCTTAATCCATCTATAACTGGTCTATTTTTGAAACAATAGAAAAAGATTCGTTTGTTAAAGAAAACATTCACATTTTTCTCAATGGTAGAAAGTAACCAAATAGGAGCTAACCGACTCCACAAATACATTTGGTTACATCGGGCAAGAGTTTTATCTGTGGTTGATTCTTATTTTAAGATGCTCACAAAAGAACAATCTATGAGTGCTCGAAAATAACCAATCAGAAAGTTAACCGATATTATATAAAAAGTTTTTTCTTAATGGTCAAAACGCTCTCTTAGTGGTCGAAAGTAACCAATCAGAAAGTTAGCCAATATTACATAGAGCGTTCTATCAATGGTCGAAAGTAACCAATCAAAAGGTTACCCGACCTCATGTAGGCATTTCGTTACATTTTCCCTACTCAAACTAGACAAGCCGCCTTATGACGTGCACAAGGTACATACCACACCCCAAAAAAAAACAAAAACAAAAAAACTTATTATGTAACAATGAATCATTTTATGAGTTAATTTCACATATTATGTTCTTAGACTAGAAGGTGGATAATGAGGGACAGATTTTTGTATCAAGTCTTTGATTGAGCATGTGACCAAAAGGATTGATTGATGACAAACTAAAGTAATAAAGCTAAACAAAGCAGATTGATTTTCCCTTAAGAAAACCATACAAATAGATATAATAGCCAATAATTAAGCACTCCATACCAAATATGGAGGAGAAGATAAGATAAACTAATGTTGATATTGGTACAATTTCTTCATAGTGTACATATTTGACCTAATTAAAGATACGTTATCACCAAATAGAAGATTTGCAATAGATAGTTTTATTTTCTCCACAAAGACATCACATTACTTAATAATTGTTGGGGTAAATTGAAATACCAAAATAATTATTATAGAGGAAGTAATAAATTTTCATTAAAATTGTGAAAGGTTACAGACTCGAGCAAACAAACGAGACCTTGCATAGAAAAACCAAGCGGGACAAAACTAAAAATAAATTAAAATTAAAGAAAAGGGTTTTTGTATTTTGTATTTATATATCTATTTTTTTTTTTTTTTTGTTTTAAAAAGGGAACGAAGTGGAAGGGCGTAGAAGACAGTGAACAACAGGATAAGTTAGAGTGGATATTTCTGGTCACTGTCTTTGCCACGTAATTACGAACGTGTCAAAGCGCGTGATTCCCTATTTCGCTGACGGCGGACGTTAGCCTCTCCTCTTCTAAACACACCCACCAATTTACTCACCGCACCCCAGCACTCTATGTCCATGTGTTGCGTTTTTGTTGTGAGCCCTGTGACTACTGTTGTCTATATATATAGCTGTCTAATTGTACCATTTTACCTCCTTTTTTTTTTTATATAATTTTTTTTTTTGGTTGGGTTTTGGCTTATCCTCCACCCACTGCCTCTTCCTTAACCTGCGCACCCCCCGCCCCCCTCTTCCCCTTTGTATCTCTTTAATTACACAACACAAGGCTTCTCTCTCCATCTCTCTCTCTCTCTCTCTCTGTCTTATGACTCTGCTTCACCGTCTTCTTCTTCTCCTTCTTTTTTCCAATTGATGACAACAAGCCCCGTAATCTGGAAGCTCAAACGAAGACGACGTCGCAGCGGTGAGGGTTAAATCCGAAATTTTCCATCACCGCCGCCTCAGCAGCAGCAACAGCAACACACTATATATCCTCTTTTGTTATTACTGCTGCTGTGTTTCCAGACCGAACAAACAAATAGCAACCTCTCTGTTGAATGGATGTCTTGGTGGGCCCCGCCTTCTCCATCGGGGACGGCCCCGGCCGTCTCTTCGTGAAGCAGAACGTGGAGGCGCGGCCGAGGTCCGAGGAGGCTTCCTCAGACAGCTCGTCCTCGATCGGGGCTCCCGACGACAGCGAAGAAGACGATTCCAAAGGAGATGATGGCGACGGCGACGGCGAGGAGGTGCAGAGCAAGTTTAACGGCGGTGGAGGCGGAGGAGGGTTGGGTTCTCTGGGTTCGTTTGGTTCGTTAGAAGAGTCTCTTCCAATCAAGTAAGTCACTGTTTAGATCTGCAACATGAAATTTTCATTTTTGTTTTTAGCTGGAAGTGATCATCTTTGTTGAATTTCAGTTTTGATCCTGGTAATAATTAATTATTTAATTTAATTAGTGGTTTTATATGTTAATGACTTGCTTAATTAGCTTGGGTTGATTTTCATTTTTTTTGTTTTTTTTTAATATATAAAATTTGTTTATGCAGGAGGGGATTATCCAATTACTTCTCAGGAAAATCAAAGTCATTTGCAAGTCTGTCAGAAGTGAGCTCTGTGAGCTCAGTGAAGGAGGTGGAGAAGAGAGACAACCCATTCAACAAGAGGAGGAGGGTTTTGATTGCCTCCAAATGGTCAAGAAAGTCTTCATCTTTCTACAACTGGCCCAACCCAAAGTCCATGCCTTTGCTAGCCCTAGCTGAACATGAAGATGAAGAAGATGATGAACAGCAGCAGGAACAAGAAGAACAGCAAGACCCATCATCAGACCAATCTTCATCAGATGACAAGGAACAGCAAGGCAGAAGAGCCCCAAAGAATTTGCTTGACAGAAGGCTCAAGAGTTTCAAGTCAAGAAGTTGCTATTGCCTCTCAGATCTGCAAGACCATTAACAACAACTTGGGTGGCTTATTTGGTTTTCGTTTTCTTTTTTATTTTTTCTTTTCTTTCTTTTTTTAGGGTTGTTGGCTGGAGGGTCTGTCTGTTTCTATGTCCACCCAGAAAAAATTTATATAAAATATAAGTTTTAGTAAATATTATCTCCATTATCTTTTGGATTATTGTTTTTGTTTTTTATTTATTTTTTGGTGTTAATAGGGAATGGATATACATGATCTGCTGAATCGGATATCTCAAGTATAAAGACCTGTTTGCCCCTCAATCAATTATCTTGGTCAGGTTTTGGTATGGAATGGAACATAGGGTTTAAAATATTACAGATCTTTTATCCTGTTCCTTAAAAAAAGGAAAAAAGGAAAAAAGGAAAAAAGAAAGTACTTTTTCTCTCCAGAGACTAATTGACTTCAACTCGATCATATCACAAAGATACTGAAATGGTTCCAAGTCATTTCTGATTGATTAGGTTACAGGCTTACAGCTTCAAGCATTTTTGTTTGGTCGGTGCAAACGAGGAAAGCCAGCAAACAAGTAGACATATGAAACAGAAACTGATAGAAACCAAAACCTGACTTCGGAAGTCACCAGAATCTTTTTTTCTGGAGGAGGAACTAAAACTCAATGACCTTGTTTTTAGGTGTAGGAGTCAAATATCGACTGCTTCGGTTACCCTTGTGTGGGTGTGTGTTTTTTGTTTGTTTTTTCCTTTTCCTAAAAGTATTTCGATTCCAATTTCCATTTAGCTATCTTACCAATATCCAGTTCGTAAAATAAGCCTGGCTAGGTCGATTTGTCTTGGGTTAGGCTCCACGCGAGACCGATTGCCCCAATCACCTCCCATTAAGGTACCTAGGCTGGGCCGGGCCATGAGCCGAAGTATCTTTCGACTCATGGCAGATCATCGAGCTCGAGCTGAACATAATATAGCCTAGTTGAAGCTTGTGTAGGTAGATATCAAAAACGTTTTATACCAGGTTCTGTTGTCTCCACCACTTCTCGATTAATGGTTAGGTTTGAATTCTACAATGGAGCCCTTAATGAAATTTATTCTTGAGTCAACCATCTCAGTCTTTATTGGCTCAAGACTCGTAATAGTATGAAAAGAAAGCTCGACTCGAATCAAGAATACTGGTGTTGAGTTTCTCGATCCTTGGCCTTAGGATTAGTCAATTATATTTCTCGATAGGGGGGCAGGGACATGGAAATGGATATAATTCAGTGGTACAGTGTCACCTTGACGTGGTGGAAGTCATCAATCAATTCACGATTCTTGATGAAGCACCTAAATTTGTAATCAACATTTCATCATGTCTCTAATAAACGTGATTTTGGTGATGTGCCCAGAACGTGATACTTCATGAGGTATTAAAATATTTTAACAAACATTTCAACATGTAAAAGCGATTAGGGTGAAGCACCAAACAAGTGATTCTTTACGAAGCCCCTGAAACTTAATAAACAGTTCAACATGCTTTTAATAAAGGAGCTTATGATGAAGCACCGAACATGTTTTTCTAGCAACAAAGAAAGAAAAAAAAAAAAGTGATTCTAGGGTTATGTGCATAATAATTTCCTACGTAAAGAGTCTCAAACGGGCCCATAATAATTTTATTATCGAGCATGGGTTGGGCCTCAAGTCAGGCAACATCCAAAAACATCAAGTTAAGGCCCTACAAGGAAAAAAAAACATCAAATTAAGCAAAGTAGGACAGGATGTAGATGCTCCAACGTGTAATTATACCATGGCGTGTCTTGTGGCGCCACTTCGTTGCACCTCCTCCCACTCCCATCTCACGCTCTCCTTCTCAATCTCAAAAGCTCCAATTGGTTTTGGGGCCAAACTCTCTTCCAACGCGGCCGTTCCCACGAGTCGACTCGTCCGAAACTCGATGAGTCAACCCGCCGCCGAAGCCAACTCGGACACCTCGAAATCCGAGATCCCCCCGGACGTCCTGGTTCAGTACGTGGTGCTCCGCCGTGACCTAATCGACACGTGGCCGACGGGGAGCGTGGTCACACAGGGCTGCCATGCCTCCGTATCCGCCATTTGGTTCCACAAAGACGACCCTCACACCCTCCAGTACTGCAGCCCAGAAAATATCGACTCTATGCACAAGGTAACTTGTAAAGCTTGCTCCTTTATGGTGCTTTGATTATTAAACTTGGGTTTGAATGTGATGCTGGAAAGGTTGGATTTTTTTTTTAGTGCAGCAACATTTTCTGATTTCTGGGTTGAAGTTGCATGATGTTTTTGGTTCCAAATGTTGAAGGGAAAGTGTGATTCTTAGTAATGGTGATGTTCATGTTGCATTTCTTCATTGTGCTCAGAAGGTTTTTTGCATACACTACGATTTTTTTTTCTTCTACTTGTGTGCAGAAATTGTATGAAACAGTAGGTAATATGAGGTTGCATAGGTGAAAATCATTGCTCATTCAATTGGGTCATTGAGATCAATGCCAGAAAATTTGGGTTCAAGTTGGGTAGGAATTTTCTTGTTAACCAATCAGTGGGGTTTGTAAATTTGGTCATTGTATGCTGGAACTTGTTGGCTGCAATTGCTTTAAAAGTACTGATTACAATAGTCTTATCAAATTGTGCAGGTTACTCTTGAGGTGAAAGGAGAACCCCAGATATTGAACTTGTCCGAGAAGCTCACAGCTGGTGGCATAGCACACAAGCTGTGGATTGAACAACCCGAAAACTACCCAACTTGTCTCGCCACAAAACCTTACCCCAAATCCGTGGTGTCGGCATATTTTAAAAAGTTGAAACTCTGTAAGTGATGTGATTATTGATGCCATCAATCCATAGCTACGATTAGTATATGAGCTCCAAGGAAAATCCTCTCATTTATGAACTGATTCTTAAAGCTTTGCAGTTTTGCTTGCCCTTTATTTATGTTGGGAAAGTTAGAATACATACAGTTGATTAACGGTCTAATTGTGGGGCTTTGCTATGGGACTCTGTTTTGTGTTTTACCTTATGAAATTGGAAACTTGAGAGGAAATGGGCTTTTCAATGTTTTCTGGGGTTAGGGAAAACAGAATTGTCTCTTATGAGCTTTGATATTCATCACTCTTTGGCCCTCGGGATTCAGCAATTGAAAACTTTTAAAACATACTTCTCTCTGATGTTTTGAATTGCAAGAAATGCCCAAAAGAGAAACATGAAACTGTTTGCTGGTTGTAGATCAACTGGCGGACATGGCAATCTCGATGGGTTATAAGAAATAGAAACTAGATTGCGTTTCAATTTAGTTTTAATAAGACCAATCAAACAAAATCTAGAAAGAGCTCCGCAAAAATGCCGCAAGCATGTAAATAGAGCCTGTCATTTTGTTTCTCAGTAACAACAAAAAGTCATATTACATATATACTGCTATATATATACACGAGCACAAATTGCAATCTCTGTATTTATGATGTGGGTTATATCACTGTACTACCAAGCGCCTAGTGCACACGGTGCAGTAGAACTTGCTTGCTTGGTCTTCCAGTAGAGAGGCACGAAGCAGAACGTCCACTGACTCTCAACATCCATGGCTTGCACCATTCCTCCACAGTAGGGGCATGCCCCTGGTGCTGGTTGCCTTGAAAGCACCGTCTCATCTTCACCACACACAAACACGAAACACATGGTTCCTTCTTCCTTTAACCCCCTCGAGCCTTTCCGGGTTTCTGGTTTGCTTGCCCCTTTCTGTCTTTCCTTCTTTTCTGTCTCGGGTTGCTGTGTTTTTGGTATATTTCAAGGCTGACGAAGCTAAGCCGAAGCTCTTTTGTTTTGCTGGTAAGATAATTGATGTAGGCAGATATGATCACAAAGTTTTTCAAGGCTTCATGTTTATGTACGTGGGTTTCTTTTGGGATTTTTTCAAGGTTCTAGCTTAGTCTGGAAGTTTGGGACCAGGAAAGGGTGGAGAAAGGTCCAATTGTTGTGTAATAAGCGCGTATGTAGAAGATTCTAGACCCCAGACGTGACAATTTCAATTTTACGTAAGATGAGAATTTTATGCCATATTTAACCGCGTTGATGCTTCTTCAGCATCCCTTTCTGACGTAAGTGATGGATAAACAAACAGTGCTCTGTCCTTTTTTTATTGGTTATTCCTTAATTTGCTCTGTTGATGGAAACTTGCCTCAAACCCAACTCAAAGCTTTTCTGAAAACATCATGACGCATGTCCAATATAATCAACTCAATTTGCTCAAATCCAATCGAAAGCATAAAGTAAAAGCTCTGAGACCCGTGCGTGTTTCACAATCTTATTCAAAAAATTTGGCCTTAACTGGATTTCTTTGAATTTTCTATCCAATAATTAAAGGCATGAAAAAGATCGTCCAACTCTTCAAACCCTCAAGAATGGTTACGATCCTTTTTTATCTTTTTACTATTAGCAACTTTAATTTGGAGCCAATGCAAAATATTCTACAAGATTTGGATAAGATATGACGGATTTCATAGGCCACCAATAGGAGAAAAACTTGATTGTAACGGGAATAAGTTCGGCTCAACGAAGTGGTCAAACAAACCTGAAAAAAAGTGCCACTATATGTCTCTGTCTATGTAGAAGAGCAAAGCAAATGTTGAGCCTAGCTGTAGAATATTATTATGTAAACAATATAAAAGAAGTTGGGTTGTGCATAGTTTAAAAGAAAATTTCCTAACGGGGCCAAAAACAGATAAAAACGATAATTGATCAAACTCAATTATTTCAGGCATAAAGCACTTGACAACTAGAAGGAGAGAAGCCCCTAAAAGCACTTGGAGCTGGCACAACCTGCCACTCAACTTTTAGCTCACCCTTTCCTCCTCCACACTCAGACAGCCTTCCTATTCCCACATTCAACCCACATGCCACCACATATATGTTCCCTTCCACCCCGCTCGCAGCAAAAGGCCGTCTCAGTGCCTCACATGGGAACTTGTCCCCACTCACATACCGCCATGTGTCCTCATCTGGATCGTACACCTTCATCGGACAATCCCCGTACTCCGATATGACCAACAACCTCTCACCCACCACCACGCTAACCCCCGTCCACCCGTCCCTCATCCCCCGCCTCATCCCCTGCCAAGTGTCCTCGTCCGGGTCATAGACCACGCCACGTGGAGAAAGCATAAATGGCCACATCCATCCCTCCGTGACGTACATCTTGTTTCCCACCACATTGGAGTCGTACTTGGCTAGACTCGTCGGCAGCGCGGCAGACGCCACCCACATGTCATTTTCAGGGTCGTAACAGTCTACGGCCCTAATCAAATCACCATTGCGGGCCTCACCACCGCCAACCGCCAAGATCTTACCGTTGATATTTCCCGCGTCAAAAAATGATCGTGGGGTCCGCATTGGAGCGGCTATTGACCATTGATTTGTAGATGTACGGTACACGATGGTGGTGCGCGTAGAACATTCTGAGTCTGACCGCACGCCGCCCAAGACAACGAGCTTCCCCTGACGTGGCAGCGATGTGCATGCGAAGCCCGGTGGGCAGGCGGCCTTGGGGCACGGCATGGGAGGTAAAACAAACCAACGGCCCGATCGAGGGTCCAGCGCCTGCCACTGAATCCTGGACGTCACTTTGTTGAAGGCAAAGACGAAGAGATAAGGCAGAGGAAGAGACAGAGATTTCTTGCAGCGAACGAAGCTAGAGTCTGTGATGGCTCTGTTCCACGAAGCAGAGACCGAACGCACCAGAGCTTGGTAGGGGTAGGGAAGGTAGAGAAGGCAGAGCTCGGCAATCTCGTCCGGTAACCCCGGAATTAACGGCTCAGATTTTTTGCTGCTTTCTTGATCGGAACATTGATCAGAAACTGGGTTTGATACCGATGAAGACGATGATTTCACAGCCGCCATTGATGGAAATCAAACACAAACACAAACAAGCTGCGAATTTCTAATCTAGAAGTATAAATAAAACCACCCAGATGAAGAAATTGTAAAAAAATTGAATTTCTTGGAGAATTTATGGATCTAAGAGTGAGTAGCTAGGGTGTTCGACACTTGGACTAGCTGATGATCTTGTAGCATATTCTATGCGACTATTTATAGTGACAAAAAGATATCAAGTAGATCAAATTAAGGAGTGTGATGACGAAGCAAAGATTCACTTTGTGGAGAAAGTGGGAAGAATTATTGGGTCGTCAAAGGTCTTGAAAATGGATGATCAATTGTTTAATTTGATCTTAAAAATTGGATTTGTTTAAGGCATTTGGGTGATTGGGTGGTGCTTGTTTTTTTGTGTGCGCGCGCATCTAGAAACCGGAAAGTAAGGCAAAGAAGTGACGGCACAAAACTTGAGAACACACACCGGCAGATCCGAAAGAAAAAGACTTGTGTGGATTAAACAAACAGCAACAAAACGAAAGTTTCAGTAGAACCAGGTTCAGAGTTTCTTTTTACAGAGAGACAGAAATTGGTGGTTGGTTTTCCGAATACTTGAATTTGTGGGTTTTAAAGAATAAAAAAATGGAGAATAAGAAGAAGATGTGCGAAGGACTTGTTTTTGGGGTTTTAAAAGGGGTGTATGGGATTAGGGGATGGCATGGGCTGAGGTGGGTTAGATCCAATTGGGATACCTAGCGGTGCATGATGATTGATTGGAATAAAAAGATGAGAGTTGTGGGGTATGTGTATAGGTGTGAAGATGAACTAACTGGTACAGACTTATGATCCCATTTGCTTTGATGAGAATGACTATAATACTAGTTGTAGGCCCATTTCTTTATGGTTTGATTAAGACATCTTAATTTCGTGACCCTTCACTTAGTGAATAAGTATCTTATCATAAATGTTCTTTCGTGGACAATCCTAATTTGTTACTTTCAAGAGCATCTTAATTCGAACGCAATCATATTTGATGAGAGAATAGTTCCGATACCCTCTTTTATGTTTGTCAATTTATTCTTCATTTTGAGCAACATAAACGAAACTGGGAGCAAGAGAAGAGAAGTTTTTCCCTGTGCGATGACTCCCTTACAAAGAAATTACCCATGAGTGTGGTTCACATGCATGCTCTCATTCTCTGTGAGAGACTTGTCGTATTGGGGCAATCGTAGGCTACACAAGAATTTCTTCCGGAGCAGGCATGGCTATTCTATTCACACAAGGCATTCGGTGCTTTCATTGTCAAGGCCCTTGGGTTCATCCATGTATATAAGAGCAACTCCATCCATTTGCTATTTGTCATGGTGGGGGGGGGCTGGGGCAGCCACTATTCATGTGAATAGTTGCTGCCCTTACAAAAAGTTGTGGTGTTTCCACCAATTGTCATAGCAACAAGTATTCACATGAGATATGAGGAGAGAAATTTTATATAGTTTTGGTGTGGGAACTGAAAACTACAACTAAATATTTATTTATTTTTTTAAATGAAATTTTTTTCAATTTTTTTTGTTGCTGATGTTAGCAAACTGGGGCTGGAACTAAGGCAGATCTTGCATGAGAGCTAGCCTGGGTTCGTGGGCCCCATCTCCTGCCAGGACTAGCCCTTGCCGCTGGAAACAAGATTTTGGCCCAAACACCCCCCCGGCCCTCCCCTTAGGCGCATCGGTGGAATCTGTCTAATACGTCCACACCACAACTGCCATAGCACCCTTTCTTTTTAAGACAGTTCCTGAATTTCATCAGCATTTTGTCCTTCCAATTAATTACACATTACAATTGATGTGCAATTTATTTCAATCAATGAATAAATGAAGCTAGGCCCCAGGTAGTCAAACTTACTACTCCAATATATTTATGTGTCATTGAAAACTTGAGGTGACCGCTTACATGTCCTTATCAAGTGTTTGGTTTGAGCATTTGAGGGTAAATTTTTCAGGAAGTATTTTATATTAAGGATTTGTTATTTATTTTTAATATCGATCATTAATTATATGTATGCTGCATATTAAATTTATTAACACATCTAATGAATACAATTCAACGGTCAAAATTAGAAATATGTAACAAATCTTTAACTTAAATACTCAATATAGAATTTCCTTGATTTGAGTAACTTTTTCTTAACATAACAGACGCGAATTTGCATAAAAGAAAGCCTCGTGTGAACATGGGTTGAGATATTAGATTATTATTTTTAAATGGTGAAATTGATAGAAAGAAAGAATCACAAAATGGAAAAATGAATAAAGCACGCGAACTTTGGAAAAATCTGCATAAAAGTCAAGAATTTTTCGTCCACGACAAAATAAAATAAAAAATTAAAGCTTAATGTCGTTTTCTTGCTTATTTGGAAAATAGAAAATAGCAAGCTTTTCCCAGTTTTCCATGAGCTGGTTACGCTGGTTATTTGGGTCAGTTTTGAACACCTCAATTAAAAAAGTACATGGGTCATTCCGAAAAATGACAAACAAATAAGGAGCTTTTCCAACTCCACCCACTTGGTTCTGTCCTTCTGGTGTGAAAAGAGGAAAAGTGTGATTTTACCTCGAATTGGAGGGATGAGCATGAAGCTCAAAAAGTTGATTATGATGTCGCCTTTTTTCTAGGCATAGCCTATAAACAAAAAAGGTGGTCTGAAAATGGCTGAAAGGGTACAGTTTTGGGCACGAGAATACCACCTTTGTAGTAAAAAAATTAAGGCGTTGCTTGCCTTATGTGTGTTTTCAACTAGAACAAGTAGCTTTTTGTATGATAAGTTTAGTCAATTTTCACATCTCATTGTGTACCCACTGCTGCGCATTTATCTCGTGTTTCAACCCCATTTCATTTTGTCTATGCTTTAAATATAAGATATTCTCTTTCGAAAAAGTGACATTCTATGTTCGATTGTCAGTCTAAACAATTGATTAGGTATTCACTTCGTTTGAATGTGTTCGCATTAATAGTCTGATAAAAAATACCAAATAGTCTAGTGAGTTGACATTATCATGGTTTTCATTTTTAATTCCATGACTAAGTGCTGATTCTAACCACTTGAGTTACATTCGCTTTGCAATATTACCCTTTTTTTTTTAGTAGAAGCGATTACACACAAGAGAGGGGGATTACACACGCAGGGGTTCTAACCAATGACCTGATGGGTTAACAACAATTCACTCTACCACCAAAGCCACTGGTTGTTCCCGTAATATTGCCCTAATTTTAAGCAGGCAACTTTTTGTTATTTTTTTACCATATAGGAAAGGTTACTTATTGGACCATGATGGGCCTATGTGGGCCGACTGGGCCTGAACTGATTTAGAAGCCCAAAACAGTGCACCTACTAATTTACCCGCCAATAAGCTAAAAGCTCCCAACTTCAGTCTCTGACTGACATTATCTGTAGAGAGAGATCCATGGCCGATGGCTAGCTCTGAGCCTTTTCACCATATACAATGCAAGCCTTCTCGCCCTCGTTCTCTGTTTGTTCTTCTTATCCATTACGGCGTCGTCGAATCAGCACCGCCCCTCCCCGCAAACCCAATCTCAGGCGGCTCACCTCCCGCGTCGTCCAACTCACTCGCCGGAGACAGCTTCACCAGGTCCTGTTCTCCACAACCCTGTTATCTTTTTCTCGAAATATATATATATATATATATTTCTGTTTTGCATTGATGGGTTTTTTTTTCTTCTTGATTTTATTGTTTTGCAGATAATGGAGGAGATAGAGATGGCCAAAGAACGATATGGGAAGCTGAACACCATTGTGATGAATGCGGTCGTCGAGGCATGTGTTCATTGCGGCGATATCGACTCTGCTCTTATGGTGTTTGATGAAATGTCTGACCCAGGAAGCTGCGGCGTCGATTCTGTCACATATGGTACCCTTTTGAAGGTACTTTTTAATCTTCTTTTTTTAAAATAATTTTTTTATTGCTTCCCATGGATTTGTTATCAGTGATTTGGGTGCCTTGTTGAAAGGGTTTGGGCAGGGCTCGAAGAATTGATGAAGCTTTTCAAGTACTTGAATCTGTGGAGCTAGGTACTGCGGTGGGAAGTCCAAAGTTGTCAGCACCTCTCGTTTTTGGTCTGCTCAATGCTCTAGTTGAAGCGGGTCTGTATCACCAATTCAATGCTCTTTAATAAGTGCTTTGTGGGCATTGTATTATTATAATGTTAGGACCAAAATAATAGCATCCAATTGAAAGATCAGTTTTCTGATCAGTACATTTTGGTTACTATTAAGCTCAAATTAGTGCTTACAAACGTGCATGCGCTGTTTGCTTCTTGCTGTAGTGCAGGAGATTTACGCCGTGCTAATGGGCTTCTTGCACACTACGGTTTTCTTCTCCGCGAAGGTGGCAGTCTTACACTCACAGTCTATAACTTATTAATGAAGGTTCTGCACTGACCTATATATAGTTCTTTAAGAGACTTAACAAATTAAAGTACGAATTTTCTTTCTCTACTTTGAGAACTGAGCTTTGCAATCAACATACAGACAGCGTTTTGTGTATGCATGATCCTAGATTTATAATTTTAGTTGATAATGTTGTGCCTTAAGGGTTTGCTTCTCCTGATTTTCAGGGATATATCAATGCAGGCATTCCTCAGGGTGCGATAACCATGCACACAGAAATATTACGTCTAGGATTAAAGCCTGAGAGGCTCACCTATAATACTCTAATATCTGCATGTGTAAAAGCTGGAAAGTTGGACATGGCAATGCAGTTTTTTGAGGAAATGAAGGTCCCAAGCTATATAAAAGGCCAGTTTAGAGCCTGTATATGATATTTTAAGAGAATTAGATTGTTGTAAATTAAGTTACTAAATATGGCTCCTTGTTTTAGGACGAAGCACAGAAGTTTAGTCATGCTGACCTTTTCCCAGATGTCGTCACTTACACTACACTACTTAAGGTACGTTTACTTTTCTTTCAACAACCTTGTTAATGAAATTTAGGACATGCTCATTTTTGCAAGTTATTCAATGTATTTTCTTAACAATGTCAACTGTATGACATATTCATTATTGAAAGGTAGCATTTTTTACAGCCACTGTGGTTGTGGTTATAAACTTTCTTTATAGTCTTTTTCTTTTAAACCTTGTTCTCTGTAACGCTGTGGTAATCTAATTTTTTTTTTATAATTGAAAAAAGATATTAGGAACTTTATATTAGTAGTTTCCTTTTCGTTTTTCTGAATGGAAGAACTAGATTTTTCGTTCTGCCCCACCCCCCACCTCCTGAGGAATAAACTTTATATATTTCTCTTGTTGGTAAATTGATGTTTCAGTTCCTTAAAGTCCTATGATTTTTCTTTTTCTTTTTGTGTGTCTTATTTTGGCAGGGTTTTGGGCATTCCAAAGATATCAATTCAGTTCAAAAGATTATATTGGAAATGAAAACATATATTGGTTTGTTTATTGATCGAACAGCATACACTGCAGCTGTCGATGCTTTGCTAGGCTGTGGCTCAATGAAGGGTATGTTGTAGATTGCAATACAAGGATTTTAAGTTATCAGAAATTGCCAATGTCTACATCTTTACATTTGCCTTATTGTTCTAAGTTGCACGCCCTCCATTTTTACATTGCGAAATTCAATATATTGTCAATCAAATGATGAAGAAGGGACAAAAGCGATTTCTTCCATCTGCCAATGTCAAGTATGATGGTGATGTAAAGATCTGCAAAAACCATGCAATTTGAATAGAGCTTGTACATTTTCATGCTGATGTAGGCATCAAGATTACTCTGCATTTAGTTTTCTCTGTTAGAGGTCTCATTAAATGCTGCACCAAGTATGCCGCATGGAAGCTGGACTGGTTAAAATTTCATGTTTCTTTTCTTATCAAATTTGGATGGATGCTGGATTTTTGAAGTGTCAGAAATTAAAACCAATTATTACTCTTCTACAAATTAAAATTTTGTCCTTGTGCTTAGGTGCTTTATGCATTTTGGGAGAAATACTAAAACAGGCTGGTGGAAATCCAGACTTGCGACCAAAACCTCACCTCTATCTTTCCTTCATGCGTGCCTTTGCTGTTAGAGGAGATTATACCACCGTGGAAAATCTAAAAGATCACATGTGGCGAGATACTGCTGGAACTATCTCCCCAATGGTTCAAGAGGAAGCTGATCATCTTCTCATGGAGGCAGCTTTAAATGGTGGTCAGGTACTATATCAACTCTTCACAATCTTCAGTATGGGGTGTGTTACTGCATAAATCTCTTTCCATTCCTGTTTACTGTTTACCTTCATGATGTTTGAGGCATTTGGATGCAGATTTTAATATCTAGGTCCTGCACAAGATATATAGCATTGCCTTCCTTTAGTTATTTTTTCCCCTCTAAATGGTACTATCAAGTTAGTGCATTAGTTCAATTTTGCATTTGATTGGCATGAGCAATCTGACTTTGACCATTTGTTGTTTTATATTTTTTGGTTTTCTCAGGTAGACGTGGCTATAAAATGCCTTGAAAATGTTATTACAAGGTGGAAGAGAATATCATGGACAAGTCGAGGAGGCATGGTATGTAATGTGCTTTTACCCTCCATGACTGTTTAATATTTATGAAGATTAAGATTAGATGTGGTAGGTAATCTGCACTGTTTTGAAGGATGACAATGTTATATCATAATGTTAAAGATATGCCTAAAAATTCTGGGTTGGTGCTGCACAGTTGGTTTTATGCTCTTCAAGTTCTCTAGACCCTTTAAATTGATACTGAGGAAACTTGTTTAAGGATTTTTTATAAAAAAATTGGACTTATTTCTTTGAATTTCAGAAACTTTAGTTCGATATTACTTCTTGTATCTGTTAGTAGTTGACTAAGTAGGCCTTTTGTTTAGAATTCTATTTGTTTTCAATGCTTACAATTACATTATAATTTCTGTGTCTTCCTAGCATGAATTCATTAATATGCCCTTGCACTGCAGGTTGCACTACGCGTAGAGGCCTTATCGGGATTCACCAAATCAAGATTGAGTCCTTATCTACTTCCTCAGGTTTTCATACATTTATTTTCCTTTCAAATTGTAGATAAAATTAGCTACTTAAGGTCCTAACCTGATGACCTGGCAAATATACTTTCATATATAGGTGTCAGTGCATGTAAGATGATTGCTAAGGGGCCTACCATGAGTGGTTTTAATGTAGAATATCAAATTTAGTAGAAGTGTGACTGGATATGATTTTAAAAATTCAATGGACTGATGAAGAATTTCTGGTGGTGAAAATATATTTATAAATTCAGATACTTTAATAACCAGGACTAGTTGAATTATGGAAGGGGGATCTTTTATAAATCAATCAAAACTAATGATAAAGGGACTACTTTCATATCTTTAGCTACTACTGATTTACGTTCTGATATGTACTCAATTATTGGCTTTTAAGTATTTTTGTATGTGTTTGCTTTTGTACACTTTTTCTATTTAGGTATTGGCAAGTGAACCGATTGAGAGTGTCATGATGCCCTTTGAAGCAGCTCGGCCACTAAATGGGACCCTGCACTTGAACAAAGTGGTTATGCGTTTCTTTAGGGATTCAGTGGTGCCCATTGTAGATGACTGGGGTAGCTGCATCGGAGTATTGCACCGTGAAGACTGTAGAGAGGTATTTACTATTCACTGATGGTAGAAATAAATTGCATTTTATCCTGGACCGTAGGGTACAAGCAAAACCTGATAGATGTTTTCCCTAACATTGCAAATTTACAAGTCAAATGCTTTGTGTTGTGTTGTAAATAGCATTTTAACAATTAAATGAGCATTTGTATTAACAACTATATGTTTAAAGTTTATGAGCTAATGGAAGTTTGCATACTATTGCGTAGATGAACGCCCCTCTTTCGTCGATGATGAGAAGACCGCCTCCTTGTGCTACTACTAGGACATCGATCGGCCATGTGGTGGATCTGATTATGAAGTACAGATATAAAATGGTTATTGTAATAAACCACAGCTCAGTATATGGTGGTACTCCTTCAAGATTGAGGGCAGTTGGTGTTTTTACAGCTGAACAGCTGTGTAATCTTGTTACACCAGAAACGCCAGGACTGAAACTTTCTTTAGGTAGAAACCTGATTAACAATCTACAGAGCATGAAACTATAGTCTCCTTGTAAATTCAATTTTTGTTATATAAATATGATTAAATATGATTGCAGTGAAAATGGTATCCTGAAAGGTGCTTGTTTATACCCTGCTATAAAGTCTTGTGGCAATAATAGCTGTTTTGGCTGATGCATTGGCCTTACCAGAAAACAGCTCAAGAGGGTAACTTCAAGGAACGAGGCTGTTAGTATTTTGGAATTTTACTAGCATCTGTTAACACGAGTATATGCAATTCTGGTAATTCTTGGGTGAGACTGTAAGGCCGTCATGTAAGATTTGCTGTGAGATTCACATTAATCAACGTGCACCCATGTAAAACTCGCATATTCGAGAATCTTTAAGCAGGCCCATAGCTTGATAAACATGAACCATTATTTGGGCTTTGTAACCCAAATACATTGAATATTTGAGATCGTTTTCCAATTTTTTAATTGACATATTTCTTTTCTTTATAATCTTAATGGTGTATTTCAGAAAATCTCAATAGGTGATGCAGAAAACTTGACCCAAAAAAAAAGACCAATGTGAAGCACTTTTATCAAAGGCTTCCATCAGCCAAAATTCAATTAAAGATTTAAGAATCAAATAATCTCTTTTGTAAAAGCAAAAATAATCAGAGCCGTTGATGCAACTGACATAAGTAGATTTTACCACCAAAAAAAAAAAAAAAAAAAAAAAAAAGCCACTGTGCTACCGCTTCCCAAAACGCAAGGCAAGCCACTGAGAAACACAGGAAATGAATTGAACCCTCCACTGGCCACTGCAAAACCCTAATTAACGAAGACACAGTGAGTGAGAATGGCGCTCAAAGGGAAGGAGACGATCAAGAGCATGATGAGGAAATTCGGAGACAAAGCCCTAACTCCGCGACTGAAGGAGGAGGTGAAGAAGAAAGGCATAATGGGAGACAAAACCCTACCTCCGCGATTGAGAGAGGAGCTCAAGAAGCAAGGCGTACCCAACTCCAAAATCATTATGGGTCGGGCCAAACGTGGCATCTACGCTGGCCGCCACATCCAGTTTGGCAATCAAATCAGTGAAGACGGTGGCAACAAGTTCGTATTATTCTCATTTCTCTTGCCTTTTCAATTTTAATCCCAAAGATTTAGCTCTGCTTATTGAAAAATTGAAATTTTGCCCTAATTTCAATCCATGACAAAGGCAATGCTAAAAATTACAGAACTTTTTATCCATTTGTAATATCTAAACCCAAAATCTTGGACTTGATCAGTGATTTTGATTTAATTTCATTTTAGTTAGCCGGGTAGTGACTGTTTTGAATGCTTTGTATTATATGCTTCTAAGTATTTTGTTTTGTAAGGAGTAAAGGTTTGTTGAGGTGTGTACTATATACCAATCTGAGGTATGAAACTTGTGGGTTGTCATTTTAACCATTGTTGCTTCAGAAATTGTATTCTCAAAGCTATTTGAGCTGGCTGAATCATTGGCAAAACGTATCATGCGTTATCATATTCTACAGAATCTGGACAAGTGCCAGACAAGTATTTTAAGTTTACAAGTTTTATATTTGTCTGCTGTGGCCGGGTCTACATGGGTTTTTTTTGTTTTGTTAGAATTTGGCATAGTGTAGCATGCTATACAGTTTCCTAGAGTATATTCAATGCAATTTATAGAACAGGGTTGGCTTATATGACGCAGATTTTGAATTACTAGGTTCTTTAATCTTGTAATAATTTGTGAAAATGGGTCATATTAACCGCCGGAACTTTCCTTTGTTGGTGGTGACAGGTCAAGGAGGACATGGAAGCCAAATGTACAGGAGAAGCGTCTCTTCAGTTACATTCTTGACCGTCACATTCGAGTAAAAGTCTCCACCCATGCTCTCCGTTGCATAGACAAAGCAGGTGGGATTGATGAGTACTTTCTGAAAACTCCTTACCAGAGGATGGATACAGAAATGGGTCTCGTCTGGAAAGCCAAAATTGAAAAGCTTTATGAAGAGGTTGGGCAGACGCCGGTTGCGTTAATTAAACCTGAAGCCGAAGCCAATTTGGAACAGAAATTCAAACAACTAAAACTAGACGAGAGGGACGTCAGGAGAGAGATGTACGGTTGGTCGAACAAACTAAAACAGATTGAGGAAGGAGCTAACAACCAAGTAGCTGATGAGGAAGGTGCAAGGATTGGAGAACAAAGCTCTCATGTTGATGTTCCGGAGCAGTTGGTTGCAAACTCCTGAGTTTGAAGCTCGTAAACCAGCTTGGGAATGTTCTCGTTTTTGTCAGCTACTCCCAGTTTTTAGAGTTTTGTTTCTCTTTCCGGGTTTTTAGAGAGAAATTGTAGTAGTAGCCGATCCTGATAAGCCGAAATTTGTTCAGCTTTTCTCATTATGGAAATTCACATGACAGTCCTGTTGGTTTCGTATACAATTTTGTACTAAATAATTTCTATAATCTGCTGGTCTTGATGATCCCCTAAATGGGGTTGAAGATTCATTTAGCTGCCTCACAAGTAAACTACTTTGCTTTCGCACACTCTTCATATTGGTGATGATGTTTCTATAACTAAAGAGAAAAGAAAAGTAAATTATGATGCACTTAGAACCGTGTGAGCTGAGCATTCAATATAACTCGTGTGCTTAAAGCTTTGTGTTTCGTCTGTTTCCGTGTTTCTTTTAGCTCAAGGTGAGCTCTAATGTTCTTTTTTTTTTTTTTTGGTCAACCAGAGCTCTAATGTTCTGTTCTTCTGTATTTGGTAACACAAAAAACACGGAAACAAAAGAAACATGGCTTTAAGAAAAACAGGACATGATCGCCTTCTTACCACCCCAAAAGTTGAGTAGGGTTTTTTTTATAGGTTTTTTAGGTTTTAGACATAAAAAAAATTTCACTTTTGGAAAAAGCCAAAGCTTTTTCAAAAAAGACAAAAAAACCACTCAACTTTCAAATCAAAGACATGCAAATGTATTGGATTCCTTAGGAAATCTAAAAATAAATAAGGGCATTTTTGTCCATTTTTGCTTCTTTTAAAATTTCTCTCTCCTTTTGCTTTTTTCAGAATGTCCCTTTTTTTTTCTTTTCCCGAAAGGGATTAGGGGGGTTGTTTCAAATGACCTTTGAAATCCAGAAACGCCATAAATTTTTGAAGTTTATAACCAAGACGTTAGTGAAAAGTCGTATCAATTTTTAAAGTTTATGGAAACAGGATATTTGTTATATACCTCAAGAATTGGAGCCGTTGCAAGTTACAGCCATTTAGGCTTTTTAGCCAACACAACCTTCAAAATTCCTGTAGTGCAAAACTTAATTAGCAAGCAGTGGGCCCCATGACAACGATTCGCTTCTTCTTCATTATCAAAAGAACAAAAAGAACAGAAAAACAAAACAAAAAACCAAGCTTATGTTCTTCTACTTCTCTCTGTCACACTTGCCACCACCCTCCCTTCTCTCTTCCCATGTACTTCATACACAATTTACATAGCTGTAATTCTTTATAAAAATAATCTAAAATAATAATTAACAAATAGCTGGAAGCTGTAGCCTTCACGTTCAAACACGCTTCGCCTAATCATTTCCAACACGCTTTCTAGTAAACCACATAACCAAACAGTTGCTTGCTCAAGAAGCTTCTCTCCCATGTCTATAAAAACCCTTCACCCCTCACTCCTTCTGCAACAAGTTTGCATCAGCTTCTCACTCCAACAAGACCACAGCAAAAATGGGCAGGCAAAGCTCGTCACTTGTAAGCCACCTGAAGAGGGCAGTGAGGAAAATAAACCTCATTTTACTTGGCTTTAAGTTAAACCGATTGAAATTGGCTTCAATCCTTGCTTGTACTAACAGAGCTTCTGCAAGGCAGTGCTTGAGCTTCAATGACAGATTGGGTTTGCCTGGCTGCATTGAAGATGATAAGGCCGATGAGAATCGGTGTTTGAGACGGGTTGTTAGCACAAGGACCCATGATCGCGCTTCGGATGATGATGATGATGTTGATCACCGGGCTGATGTTTTCATTGCGAATTTTCGTCGTCAGCTGAGGTTTGAGAGACAGGTTTCTTTGGAGTTAAGGTATTGCAGAAGGGATAGCTTCTAGAAGAAATTAGTTAACTATGAAGGAAGCTTCTAAAATGAATGGTCAATTGGTCATGGTGTGCCAAAGAACCAAGGATGATGATGTGAGAGACAAAGGGTGGCCTGGCCTCTGTATGGGGCACCAAGAAAAGTATCTCATATATGGCAAAGTTCAGTTCTAAATTCTTTTTTTCTTTTTTTTTCTTATTGGGATTTCGATGTTTTGTTGCTGATACTTTATCAGGCAGCTCTCTCAAATGGGAACCAATTCGGATGTACGTTTCCAAACTTGAATAATAAAACTATTGGTCGTTTATGTATACAATTTATTCAGTTCTGTTTTTGATATTATATGTGTATCTATTATCACAGTATACATTTCAATTTTGAATCGACACGTGTGTGACATTCATTAGCTATTTGAAAATATTTTGCTCACTGATTCTGGCAATGCAGTAAACTTCACATGGAAGATGCAGATTGTCTATAATTATCTAACTAGCTAGCAAAAATTAGGCTAAAACTACTAAAAAGAATGCATAATTAATGTACAAA